ATTAGTTTTTACTGTTGTATGTTTCCTATTGTTTGGAATGGTGTGTGTGTGTGTGTGTGTGTGTGTTTCTCGTTTTGTTTTGGGGTTTTTTTGTTTTGGGTTTTTTGTTTTGTTGTTTTTTTTGTGGTTTTTTTTTTTTAAGATATCTGTTATCAGGAAAAGGTAAATGGGGCAAGTTGGCTGTAATGAAAACCAAATTCATAATGTTAATATCTAGGACTTTGTACTACTATTCAATTTGTACTGCTGAATAAAGATAAAAGTATACTAATTGAGAGAGAGAGTAATTTTCTCAAATTCCATCTTGTTTTTCCCCATTTCGCTACCTTAGTTGAAGGTTAAGCCAGTTTTCATTCTGTAGCTCCACTGAAAAGCTGCAGTTCTGTTACAAGATTCTGTAAATATCCCAATTATACATGGGATACCATCTAACAGAATACTTCAAACCTTTGAGGACCTTCTAAGTTAAGTTTCATTAACCTACTTAAATGAACCACGTTGTATTAGAGGCGTCCAAAGGCAACTGATTCATTTGTCAGAATCTATGTTTAGTCTTGTTAAATACTCAGGTTTGATCTTCCTGACTTTTGCATTTTAATTTGTATATGACTCCTTGTGTCTTCAAGAACTGCCAATTTATGTGCCCTCTTTGCGCGCGTGTGTGTTGACAGCTTTATATTTTTTTACTCTGTGAACTGCTTACTGAAAAATCACTTGGTTGGTAATAGCGTTTATTCCTAATATCTGTAACAGTTGCCTAAAAATCTCCTGCCTTTGGCAGTAGTGTGGGACAGTATACAAGATGAAACATCTATAATTCCAGTGTTTTGTCAGTGAAGAAACAAAACACAAAAACAAGTCTTTAAGCTAGACAAGATCAAAGTAAATGAACGAACAGTTCCTTTGGCAGTCCCAGTTATTGAGAGAAGGCAATTCTTGCATATAGTGATTTGCATCCACTAAATTGTAATTCGCATTGTCTTACCAATGTTGACCGTGTTCTCTCTTTTTCAGAAGTGCAATACAAGTTGGCTGCCAGGTAGGGTAAATCAATGCCAGTATCTAGTTTTCAAAAGAAGTTAGAAGTTATAAGAAAATTGTTTTTTCCCCTGAAAAAAAGCCAAACAAACCAAACATTCCTAGTGTGTGACTAAAAACATTCATTATTGCACATTTGCAATGCTTATTGGTGTAATGGTAGGAGACAAAATGATTCAGTGAATCTGAATTTCCATTTTTGTTTAATGTACAGAAATAATAGGGCATGGACTTAATGCTGCTATTCAGACAAGTGCACAGGTACACTAACTTAAAATTCTGCCCATTGAGGAACACCATTGCTTTTGATCTGTAAAAGGAACCAAATGGAAAGTATCTCTTATGTGTGATGTGTATAAAATAACAAATTTTTCTAAATATGCATATATTGATGGTAGCGAAATGTTTGTGAATGAATAAAGATTGTTTCTCACATGAAAATTCTCAGTACTTCACACACACACACAACACACACAAACAGAAGTCAGAAATTGTAAAATTTAATCTTTAATCTTCTAACACTCCAATAAATGTCAACTGTAACTTGTTATCAAAAGGCAAATTTGTGATATAGCCATTCCAATTTCTTTTTAGTTTAAATCCAACTTCTTTTTGGCGCCATGTTTTCTTAAGTTCCAATCAATAATGACTTGAAATAATTGTTTTCCATTGATGCTCAGCAATACCATTTCTGTAGATGAAATGTTTATTTTATGAAATTAGCAAGTATTTAGTAGCAAAACAAATCAACTATTTATTGTTTCATTATGTTTATATTAGGACTTCCTTTTTACATAATTCTTTTTATATGCTTTTCTGTTTATTTAAAAGTAAACAGTTGTCTTAATTTAAGGATTGAGCTTTGGTTGGTACTATCCAGTTTGAAAATGTCATGTCATATTTTGATAATATTGTACTGTAACTGTCACACACAATGGCTTTTCTAATGTTTTAACAAGAATTGAGTATTGCAGTTTCTACTCTGTACTGGGGCAGGATCACTGCAATAAATGGGAGTGAATTAAATATGGTTGCCTAAATTAACCTATTTTTATGTATTGTTTTTTTTTTTTTTCCCCAATGGTTCTGAACATGTTTCCATTAGGCCTTGCCTAATGAGGGATACATGATGTACAGACACTAGCCGAACATTTTACATCACACATTGTAAGTTTGATACCTCGCACAATATTTTAAAATGCATCTGTAACCTTTAGGTAAAACAATGTAATACCCCAAAGTAACATGCCTAACTCCACCATATCCCTATACTAAATAAATGTTTGTGTAGCCAGCCAGTTGCTCCTGCCAATCTGGGTACAGAATTGATTCTTAATTTCCTAATCTGATGTCTGGATGAGATGGAACAATAGCCAGACTCTTGTCTTGCACCTGTTCATTTCAAAGAGTATAATGCCACTTAAATTTCCTTAAAGCCAAATGGAGAATGGTTTTGGTATGAACACAAGGATTATCTTGCAAAGTCAGACTCTGTCTAACCCAACAACATAATTCTACTGTGCAGAGGAGCTTCCTGACAACTTTTTAAAATAGGTTCATTTTTCTAAACTATTCCCCATATTGTGAATTCTCAAAATGGATGGGAAGAAAGGAGTGACTGTAGGGAAGATGGGGTGGGCTATCCCAAGTTCTCCTAATCTTGGAAATGTGTGCTCTGCTCTAAACAGTTCCCTGTTGTTGGATACCCACCCCATCTTCCCTACAGTCACTCCTTTCTTCCCATGCATTTTACATCCTTGCCTTCTACCCTTTGTACAGGAGCAGGAGGGGCCCTCCTTGGGCCTTTTATTTGTGCAAAAAGCCTTATCAATGGAAATATTTATTTTGCTTCTGCTTTCCTCCACTTTGCCCCCACTGCAGCCTGAAAAGCAGAGATTCAAAATGTGCAACCTGTGGATCACAGGTGGTGTGTGAGGCTCTTTTTTTTTTTTTTTTTTGTGACACCTGAAAGCCCCCCCCCCCCAAGCATTTTTCAGCCAAAATATCCCAATGCACAAATATCCAAAGCATCACAGAAACATGGCGCTTTGGATCTGTTGCCAACCTCTACCTCCCAACCCATGCAGTAGAAAGCCTGCATCTCAGAACTATCCAAAAACTGGAAGTGATGTTTTGTCAGTTGCAGCTGGACTAGTTGGCTTCCTGCCCAATAATTCACCGCTGCTCTCGAGCAGTCATTCCCAAAGTTGACGATAAGGGGAAAGATCCAGGGTGATGGTGAGGGAAGGAGGGCCTTCAATCAAATATTGGTGCGCAAGAAAGATGGAGAACCCTCAGCCTTTAGGACTGTGATGGGGATGAGGGCTGCATGAAACTTCTTTTGAGCATCCCTTAAACCACTGCACAGTCTCACTGCTTCTTTGATGTCTCCTTCATCTGCCTGTGTGAGCTCACTCCCTTCGCTGCTCCTGCTTTCTTTCATCAGACAGGCTGAGAGAAGAGCAGAAGAAATAATGTTGGGGCATTTGTGTGGGGGGGAAACACTTGAAGCTGTGTGGGGAAGACGTGTCTCTGAGGAAGGAGGGAGAGGAGTATCTGGGGTCAATTTTTTGAAAGAGAACTTCACCTTAGACTGGCTGCTATAGTTAAAATCTCTCCCTTTCCGCATCCATGGCAGTCTTCAGACTAGTTCATATGGCCTCTGTAAACCTACTGCACATACCAGCGATACTCTGAAAAATTTCTCCTTTTGCACCCACTCACCTTGGGAAGAGCAACCAAGCAGCTGGCTGAGCAGTGATCAAGAGACCTCTTGCCTGCACTGGCCTTTTCTGGAAGGACAGCATGGGTGAGAGGCTTCTTGGTTCTGGTCCCAGGGTGACCGGGTACAAAGGGAGCAGCAACCAAGCAGAACTGACCCAGAGACGCCATCTGGCTCCTGAGCATTCCCTTAGTACAGACTTTCCTAGTGTTCCCTTCTTAACCATTTTTTTCAGGGGCTGAATTGTCACCAAATTCCCAAAGAGTTGGGAAAGCTTGTCTTTTATCAGGATTCTGCACAGTTAGTGTGGTTTAGAGCAGTGTGTCTCAAGTTGATGTAGGAAATCGACAACTTTCCCTCAATGTGCCCATTGGGACCAGTACCATATCTGTGCCCAAAGGCTAGTTGTGGGTTTTCTGCTTTGCTGTAAACTCACCAGGAACTGGCAGCCAGTGGCTTGTGGACTGGCACTAGTTGATGGATCAGCATTTAAGTCACTCTGGTTTACAATAATGCTTCTCAAGCTATCTAATATGGTAGACCAGCAATTCCCCCCCCTCCCCACACACACACACACAATGTACCAGGGACCAGTATCATATTTGTGTGATTTGGCTATGATTGTTTCCTGGAAACTCACTGATTGCACTGTTTTATAATAGTGGTTCACACCAGTACTTAGACTGTAGTGTAGGTAGAATACAAGGTTTTCATAACAATCACTAAAAAAAAAAAAAACCTTTGTAGGGGCAGCTATGTTGGCCATACAACAAAAATACAACAAAATCTAAAATACATAATGTACAGATACATTTATTAGGCCAACCAAAAGGCAGAAATACATTGCCCTTGTTTTCAAAGTATACTGGCTTCTTCATCGGGCAAAGAGGGTAAAAATCATGCAGGGGAAGAAAAGGGCCAGTGCCAGCTTCACACATCTGCATCTTACTGGAGCTATTTGCTTAGGTGGTGTTTTAAGATAAAAACAGAGTTATCCAGCAGCTGTGTTCTGCATAACACGCATAATACTTTCTCCTGTCATGTTATGATGACTCTTGCATTATACTTGAGTCTGCCTAACTCTTATTCCTCTCTGTGCTGTGTGCCTTCCAAGTCATTTCTGACTTAAGGCAACCCTGTCACAGGGTTTTCTTGGCAACTTTCTTTGGGGGAGGGGGGTGCCATTGCCATCTTCTGAGGCTGAGAGAGAGTGACTTGCCCAAGGTCCAGTAGGATTCCATGGCCAAACAGGGATTTGAACCCTGGTCTTCAGAGTCCTAGTCCAATGTTCAAACCGTTACACCATGCAGGCTCCAACACTCCTCTGTGTGTATAGCTTTAAAGAAGGCACTGGCTATGGGGCATGCCAGCCTTCAAGTCACCTGTCAACATAATGGCAACCCCATGAATTTCATAGTATTTTCTTAGGCAAATACTCAGAAGGGGTTTTGCCAGTTCCTTGCTCTGAAATACAGCCTACAGCAACTGGCATTCACTAGTGATCTCCCACCCAAGTACTAACCAGTGCTGACTGAACACTTTCTAACTAACCCCTTTTCTTGTCTCTTCCAAGCAGTCTTTTGGGGTCCTCAACATCACTTTCTAATTATTATTATTATTATTATTATTAGTAGTAGTAGTAGTAGTAGTAGTAATAGTAGTAGTAGTCAACCTAGTTCCATCAGGTGGGCTGCTATGGGTGAGATCAGTTGCCTTGTAGTGGCCTAATGCAGCAGCCTGGGAAAGGCCATGAGGAATGGTTTTAAAGCAGCAGCAGCAGTTGCTATATGAGAGAAAGTTCAGCTTTAGCAAAACCCTTGTTTTTATTCTTAATTTTACTTCTGGAGAGCTGAATGTGTTGATGAGAGTGAAGGAGTGTAAATACCTTCATTTGTACAGTGCAAGAGAACCTCAGGAGGACAGAACCAGAGAACACAATTTGAGTCTGTTTATTGTTTGTTGCTATCTCTTAGATGGAGCTGATCTGGCCCACCTCTCCTAGTTTTTCTCTTGGAATTTCAGCCTCCCCACCCCATATTTTCACATTTTTCCTTGGCATCCTAGGGATCTGGAAGTCACGGTGATTGTGTGACAGGAGAATCCCTGGAGCAAACCAGTCCTCATGATTTCTTCCATTTGTTTTCCTTTTTTCAGTTTCCACACCTATTTTTTCTTCTCCTTTTTTCATCATTGGATATCCAAATTAACAGCAACTGATTTTTGTTTGTGCTTACTCCCAACAAAACTACAGCAATTTTAATGTCCTTAAAACCTATCATAAATGATAAATATTAATGCCTGTAAACACTTGGAATAAGGGGTAGAGCTTTCTGGGGTTTTTTTGCATTGGGAGGTATGCTGTTTGACAAAGCGACAGTGGCATGTAAAATAAAAATAAAAAGGTTGACAATGAGAATTAGTGGTTTCAAGGATGCCACTGTTGGAGTTAGACTAGAGAAACCCAGTTACCCCATTCCTGCCCAGTTGTAAAGGCTGGTACTAGGATAACTGAAGGATTGCGTGCTTCCACGACCGCCTATCTGCATCTTAAGGCCAGGGGGCTCCCTCTGCAGCTATACCTGCCCTCTGAGGTAACTCCAGTCTTGTTTTCTGTGCCTTCAAATTGACTCCAAATTATGGGGATCCTACCATAGGTTTTTCTGGGCAAGATGTTTTCAGAGGTTTGCCATTGCTTTCCTCTGTCTAGCTGAGAGAATGGGGCTTATCCAAGATCTCCCAATGAGTTTCCATGACAGAGTGGGGATTCTAACATTGGTCTCTGGGGCCCATTCACACTGCACAATTATAGTGCTATTATTCCCCTTTTATCCTGTAATTTGGTGAGGACCTAGAGGAGTTATGCTTCTCGCTAAACTGCAATTCCCAAGATTCTCTAGGGTGGAACCATGGAGTTAAAGTGAAATAACAGTGCTATAATTGGGTAGTTCGAATTCAATTCCTAGATCAACAACACAGGCTTACTCCAACATGTTTACTTTTCTTCCTTTGTATGATTTTTAAAAACATATTTTGCCTGATGAAGAAGGAAGGCAGTAGAATAAAAGCTTGCATGGTGTGTTTTATGTATTTTGGTCGGTCAATAACAGTGCTACTCTTTTTGTGGATTTTGGATTTTGTTTTATTTCGCCATATGGCCAACACAGGTATCCCTGAATGTGAATACTGGTCCAGGTTTAAGTCTGGAAGAGTCTAAGGCTCACCCCGGTTTTGAGTGAGACATTTGTATCCTTGCCCAATTAAAATCTCATCTCCATCTACTTCCACCAGGAGAAATGTGCATCCCTCACAGATGTTCAGGCATCCCCCATCCATTTCATCTCCTGTGCATCTAGAAATGGGTTTGTTTTCCCTTCTAAGAACATGGCTACTAGCAATGCCATTTCCCTCCCTTCCTTGTTTCAACTGTAAAAGTTTGAAGAGAACTAAAATGCATCTTGTCACATGCACCAAGGCTACTTCAAAAAGAATCCTTGTATAATGCTTATTTTTCTTCAGCTGATAGGTGGAAATCATGCCCTCCCCAATATGCTTTTGGACTGCCATATCCAGCATTCCTCATGGTTGGATGTGCTGGGAGTGGCAGTTCAACAACATCTGGAGGAGGAAGCAATTCTCAACTTTGCTGTAGAACAAGAGAAATATCCGCAGGCCAGAAATAATCTGAATTAGAGTAGGGGGAAGATGAAGGAAAGGTACTGGGTATGGTGGATCTTAAGTGTATTGAAGAAGATGTGGGAAAGCATTTCCACATGAAGTTTTTTACAAAACGCAACATTACATTTTTGAAGCAGCTCAGATACCTGGAATGTTATATGCATGGTTGTAAATTTTAAAGTATTAAAATAGATTTGGGTTACAGCTCGGAAGAAAAGTTGGGCTGTAAATGAGCAAAATAATCATCTTCCTCCTCAATAACAGGAGTCTGGTCATTCTTTCATCTTTTTATAGATATTTTTGTATAAGTCTGCCTTTTCTTCTTTTCCCTTCTACATTGGGGGGGGGCAATACTGGTGGCAGTGTAGTGTCACAATATCTTTGCGACTGTAATATCTAGAATGTAGAAGGGAAAAGAAGAAGAAAAGGCAGAAGAAAAGGTTTGAGAAACGATGAAGAGGGAATTTGATTCTTCAGCTGTAAAAACCTATTTAATTTAAAAGTCATCCAGTGCCATCTTGTGGCAAGACTAGTACAGGGGGGAAATGTCTAGAAGTGCTTTTGGTGGGGGGGAAAGCCTTAGAACAAATTTAAAGTGGTTTGATTTTGGACGTTATCACACGGGGAGTCGCGGGGAGAAAGTGGAAATAAACCGGACGAGCAGAAGACTTTAATTTATGGGATTTGTCCTGTTCCGCTTCGTCTGATAACTAAATTTGAATTTAATAGGGGATTAATTTGAACAATAACCTGATCTTTTCATTTCCTCAAAAATCCTGAAAATGAAAAGATCAGTTTTTTGTTCGAATTAATCCCCTTTTAAATTCGAATTTAGTTATCAGACGAGGTAGAACGGAACAAATCCCGTAAATTAAAGTCTTCCGCTCGTCCGGTTTATTTCCACTTTCTCCCCGCGACTCCCCGTGTGATAACGTCCTTTGTTAAGCATCTGTCCAGCTACAATAGGAGCTCTGACATGTCTTATTGTCTGCCTTAAACTGAATAAAATTCCCAATCATAATATGGTTTAACGATAAATATCTATATGACTGTATGTACTAAATTACCATGGTATAACTTGACTATAACCAAGAAACAATCTAGCGCACTACTTCAAACTGAAATAATATCCTTTTTTGGTCAAACATCACCAGCAGACTCTTCAGATAGCAAAATTCATTTAAATTAATTGTAGCTTACCATGTCTTCTATTTTACTGGCTTGACAGAGCTAATAGGAAATGCAGCTCCTCTTGCTCATCCAGTAGAAGTTCAGTTACAATCAGCAAAGCAATCAGCAAAGTACAAATTCATCAAATGAAGATTTTTTTCTAGCACGGAAATGAACTGATGGGGGAATCTTTCTTTTCCAAATTTCTTACTCTCAGGTGATTGGTTAGTTTAAAGGAGACCTGCCAGACAAGAATAACTGGCAATAACTCCTTTAAAAAATTAGCTTGTGCATGTGTCTGTGGTAATGAATTCTGCAAGGCTCAAGGAGGCAAAATACTGGAATTAAAAGGGTCTTTTAATGGGCTGTGCATCCTTTGTTGATGGACTTTTAAACTGGCTTTGAATTCAATTATGTTAATATAATTAAAACATCTGTCGGGGATGCTTTAATTGGGAGTTCCTGCATGGCAGGGGGTTGGACTGGATGGCCCTTGTGGTCTCTTCCAACTCTATGATTCTATGATACTATACCTTTTTGTGTTTTCATCTGTAGTTTTAACTATTACTTCGGGGGACAAAGGCTGGATATAAATGAAATCAGTTAATAGAGTTATCATAACTGGGGCCTATAGGTGAAATCTAATGGGTCTGGAGACAGAGTTACACTGGTCTACCAGGATTCCTTTCCGTTCACTTGGAGCCTTATCTCACAATCTATTGGATTCAAGTGAGCATATCTGACCATGGGTGGCCAGGAGAGAGTAGGGCTTCTGTTGCTGCTCCTCAAAACTCTCCCTTCCTAAACAAGCTGGGTTGGTATAGGATTCTTCAATGTTTTTGTTATTGTAGTGTTTGTTTCCTTTTTTCATATGCATTACTGTTGGGCAGTGCTCTTCTATGTTTTTAGGAGTTTTATTAGTTGGATTTTAGCAGATTATCTTTCTCAATAGAGAATACAGTATCTTGAAAACTATAGCCATTGTTGCATCTCTCTTCCTAAGGGAGAATCTAAATATAAAGACAGGCCAGGAGGGTAGACTTTTCCAACTGAGATGATAGCTGGAGTGTCAGTTTGCTTGGGTTGTGTTTGTTTAATATGTTTGCTTAATTCCTGAGGGCCTGGCTGTGAAACAGATCTTACCTGTATATCTCTGAAGATAAAAGGATACCAGTTGGCAACACTGGCATGGATGTAGCGTTACTGTATGGAAATGGTCCTACGTTCAATACTTAGCAATGCCAATAAAAAACAACAAACATCACACTCAGTGGGAGCAAACAACATTAGGCTAGATATAAGTTTAATTCCTAATTTGGGCTGGTGCCATCTCTACATATTCAATATTTATAAGAGAAGAAAGCTGGAAATAAATCAGGAAGCTTTTAACTGCTGGATTATAATATAACCTACAACCTTGGCCTGAGTCCCACAATAACAATAGGTTGTAAATATTGTTGCCAAAAC